TTTGGTCGGATTGAAACCCGAATATGAGGCTATTCGTTCTCAGATTTTGGGTGGATCTAGTCTTCCATCACTGTTGGAGGTTTTTTCTCGTTTACAACGTGCTACACTGTCTACTCCTTCAGTCATTAATCATGGTGTCTCTACTGATCGCTCAGCTCTTGTGGTTCCTAATAGCCATAGTGATGGTCATCGTGGTGGACATAGTGGTCACGGAGGTCGTACGGGAGGTCATACAGGTGGTCGTGGGGGTTGTAGTGGATCCTGTTCTTGTACTCACTGTGGCCGTGGAGGACACACTGTTGATTTCTGTTGGGATTTACATAGAAAACCTTCTAGTATTGCTAATCAGGCTTCTTATCAGGATGATACTTTTGTTGTTGCTTCCATACCTCGATCAGCTCCACTAGACACTAAGTCGGTCGAGAGGAGTATGCTCAGTTTCTATCCCAGCAACAGGCTGTTCTATCTCCCTCCACTGCTACTTTTGCCCAGTCAGGTAATAATTTCACCTGTTTATTGTCCGCTACTCGCAGTCCTTGAATTATCAACTCTGGCGCCTCTGACCACATGACTGGTGCGTCTGACGTTTTCTCTACTTATCAGTCTGTTTCTCTAATTATTNCCGCTACTCGCAGTCCTTGAATTATCGACTCTGGCGCCTCTGACCACATGACTGGTGCGTCTGACGTTTTCTCTACTTATCAGTCTGTTTCTCTACTTATTAGTCTGCTACTTCCACACGTAGTGTTACTCTTGCTAATGGTACTTGTTCTAGAGTTTTAGGTCTGGGAACTACTCACTTGAGTCCTGATATGTCCCTATCTTCCGTGTTATTTGTTTCTTAGTTCCCTTTTAGTTTACTTTCCATTAGTAAGATTACTCTATCTCTCAATTGTTCTGTAACCTTTTACCCTTCTTATTGTGCCTTTCAGGATCTCAAGACGAAGAGGAAGATTGGTACGGGGCATGAAGCTGGTGCCCTATATTACCTTGACTTTAATTCACTTACCCAAGCTCTACAGACCTCGTTGTCTCCTTTTCAATGGCATTATCGTCTTGGACATCTCTCTCTCCAGAATTTGAAGCGCCAAGTTCCTAGTCTTAGTTATGTATCGTCTTTGCNTATTACCTTGACTTTAATTCACTTACCCAAGCTCTACAGACCTCGTTGTCTCCTTTTTAATGGCATTGTCGTCTTGGACATCTCTCTCTCCAGAATTTGAAGCGCCAAGTTTCTAGTCTTAGTTATGTATCGTCTTTGCCTTGTGAAGCTTGTCAACTTAGTAAGCATCACCGTGTGTCATTTCAGTCTAGAGTTAATAATCGTGTGTCTAGTCCATTTGAATTAGTCTATTCTGATGTATGGGGTCCAATAAATAATATTTTATCTAATAAATATCCTTTTTTTGTGACATTCGTGAATGACTATTATCATGTGATTTGGTTATTTTTGATGAAAGTTTGGTCTGAATTATTCTCTATATTTGAGACTTTTTGTAAGGAAATAAAAACTCAGTTTGGTTGTCGTATACGTACTTTACGTTCTGATAATGCTCGGAAATATGAATCTGATCCCTTTTCAGCTTATCTTAGTAAAATTGGTATTATTCATTAGACTTCTTGTGCTTACACCTCTCCACAAAATGGTGTTGCTGAACGCAAGAATCGCCATTTGTTGAAAGTTATCCGTGTCCTGTTATTCTAGATGAATATTCTCCGATATTATTAGAGTGATGCTGTTCTTACTACTTGTCATCTTATTAATCGTATGCCCTCCTCTGTGCTAAATGGGCAAAGTTCTTATTCTGTTCTTTTTCCTGNATTATTCTCTATATTTGAGACTTTTTGTAAGGAAATAAAAACTCAGTTTGGTTGTCGTATACGTACTTTACGTTCTGATAATGCTCGGGAATATGAATCTGATCCTTTTTCAGCTTATCGTAGTAAAATTGGCATTATTCATTAGACTTCTTGTACTTACACCTCTCCACAAAATGGTGTTGCTGAACGCAAGAATCGCCATTTGTTGAAAGTTATCCGTGTCCTGTTATTCCAGATGAATATTCTCCGATATTATTAGAGTGATGCTGTTCTTACTACTTGTCATCTTATTAATCATATGCCCTCCTCTGTGCTAAATGGGCAAAGTTCTTATTCTGTTCTTTTTCCTGGTAAGTCTTTATTTTCTCTGACTTCTAAGGTTTTTGGTTGTGTCTGTTATGTTCACAATTTGGGTCCTGGATTTGACAAACTTGACTCTCGAGCTACCAAATGTGTATTTCTTAGTTACTCCCACACGTAGAAGGGGTATCGTTGCTACAGTCCTTCTCTGCACCGATACTTTACTATATGTCACATTTGAAGAATCTGTTCCATACTTTCTAGCACGTTCTCAGCCTTTGGATTTGGAATTTGGATCCTCCTATATCACCATCCCTTTCCTTATCTTCAAATATTTCGTTGCCCACTGTGTTACCATTTACTTTACCTTTCCGTGTCTACTCTCGCTGTCCTCGCCCATCGACTGAAGTGTCCGTACCCGTCTTCCTTGTCGCCTTCGGATCCTGNAATTTGGGTCCTGGATTTGACAAACTTGACTCTCGAGCTACCAAATGTGTATTTCTTGGTTACTCCCACACGTAGAAGGGGTATCGTTGCTACAGTCCTTCTCTGCACCGATACTTTACTATATGTCACATTTGAAGAATCTGTTCCATACTTTCTAGCATGTTCTCAGCCTTTGGATTTGGAATTTGGATCCTCTCCTATATCACCATCCCTTTCCTTATCTTCAAATATTTCGTTGCCCACTGTGTTACCATTTACTTTACCTCTCTGTGTCTACTCTCGCTGTCCTCGCCCATCGACTGAAGTGTCCGTACCCGTCTTCCTTGTCGCCTTCGGATCCTAGAACTTCAGGTAATTTAGATTCTTTACCTATTGCTCTTCGCAAAGGTACTTGTTCGTGTGTTACTAATCATCCCATTTTTCATTTTGTTTCATATGATGCCTTGTCTCCTGTCTTCTCCTGTTTTACTTTTCAATTATCTGCTATATCTATTTCTAAGCATTTACAGGATGCATTATCTGATCCGGGTTGGAGGAAAGCTATGGAGGAGGAGATGACTGTTTTACATCATAATGGAACTTGAGATCTCGTTCCATTATCCTCTGATAAAAGAACTGTTGGCTGTCGTTGGATGTATACTGTTAAATTTCACCCTGATGGTTCTGTAGAACGTCTCAAAGCCCAACTTGTTGCAAAGAGTTTTACTCAAACTTATAGTGTTGATTATGAGGAGACTTTTTCTCCTGTTGTCAAAATTTTCTCTGTTCGTATCTTGATTTCTCTTGCTGCTAGTCTTGATTGGCCCTTGTTTCAGTTAGATGTCAAGAATGCCTTCTTACATGGTGATTTGGTTGAAGAGGTCTACATGGAGTTGCCACCTGGGTTTACTGTTCAGGGGGAGTATGGTAAGAGTGTATGTCGGTTAAAAAAATCTTTGTATGGTTTGAAGCAGTCACCGATGACATGGTTTGGTAAGTTTTCAGATGCAGTTTTAGAGTTTGGTATTCTTCGGTGTCAGATAGATCATTCTGTGTTTCATAGGCAGACAGATGCTGAGTATGTTCTATTGGTGGTCTATGTAGATGATATTGTGATTACTGAAAATGATTCTGAGGGGATTGTCAAGTTACAAATATTCTTACAGGATCGATTTCATACTAAGAATTTGGGAAAACTCAGGTATTTCTTGGGTATTGAGGTGATTCGATCTAAACAGGGTATTTGTTTATCTCAGAGGAAATATGTACTTGACATACTTGAGGAAGCAAGTTTGTTGGGTGGTAGACTGATTGATGTGCCTATGGATCCGAATCAAAAATTATTGATAGATGATGGTGTATTGTTTGAGAATTTGGGTCGGTATCGCAAATTAGTTGGGAAGCTTAATTATCTCACTATTACTCGACCGGATATTTCATATGTAGTTAGTTTAGTAAGTCAGTTCATGGGATGTCCTAGAGTACCACATTGGGAGGCAGTTACTCGTATTCTGCGATATCTTAAACGAGCTCCTGGACTTAGATTGCTATATTGAGCTAATGGACATCTTAGAGTGGAAGGTTTCTCAGATGCTGATTGGTCTGACTCTCCTTCTGATCAGAGATCAACCACTAGTTATTGTACTTTCTTAGNCACATTGGGAGACAGTTACTCGTATTCTGCGATATCTTAAACGAGCTCCTGGACTTAGACTGCTATATTGAGCTAATGGACATCTTAGAGTGGAAGGTTTCTCAGATGCTGATTGGGCTGACTCTCCTTCTGATCAGAGATCAACCACTAGTTATTGTACTTTCTTAGGAGGTAATGTTGTTTCATGAAAAAGTAAGAAACAACCAGTGGTAGCAAGATCTAGTGTTGAGGCTGAGTATAGGGCAATGACACATACGACGAGTGAGTTGACTTGGCTACTACACTTTCTCCAAGAAATTGGGTTTTCAGTTCAACATCCTTTACAGTTGTTCTGTGACAACCAGACAGCTATTCATACTGCTGTCAATCCTGTGTTTTATGAGAGAATCAAGCATATTGAGGTTGATTGTCACTTTATTCGGGACAAAATAGTAGTTGGGGAGATTACAACTCCATTTGTGAAATCTGAAGATCAGCTTGCAGATATGTTTACCAAAGCATTGAGTCATACACGTCTTACAACTATTTGTTCCAAGTTTGGATTATATGATATATATAGTCTAGATTGAGGGGGAGTGTTAAGAATAATAGAGTAGTATGTGTAAATTGTTAATAGTAAGAGGGTGTATGTGTAATTCGTATTACTGTAGGTTAACTATAAATACAAGTGATGTATGAGAGTTAGGTTAAGTTTTAACCTCTCTCTGTTTGTCTCTAATATTGTGTTAATCTTCCACAAGTAACACTTTTGACTGTAAATTCCCCTTAAATCAACGTAGCAATTGTTTTTGTAATTGGGATGCAGACACGATATGCCATGAAATACAGACATTGCGACGGTAAATTGGTTCTCAAGGTCACTGATGATAAAGAGGTACTATTAAATACTTTTTAATCCCAGTTATTCTTCCAGATTTTTTTGTTTGATGTATGGGTACGAATGTTTATGTGTTATATTTCAAGTAATATATGCTTTATGCTGTTGTGGGAAATTACTGTTATGCTTACAGTTGTGTTTGTGTTTTGATGATTTTGAATGGTTGTAGTCTTAATGGGATCTAAATTAATATTGAACGAAATAAGAAGAAATATATGAAATTATTTAACTTAAATGAACGTACAGTGCATGATCGAAATAAATGGCGAAGGCGGACTTATAGTTGACCCCAAATGATTGGGATATAAGGCTAGGCTTGGCTTGTTTGGTTTGGTTTAGTTTGGTTTTGGTTGTAGTCTTGTGCTCCTGTTAAGGGCAGACATATCTTGTACTAGTTTTATAAGGGAAACCANTTGATGCTTGTGCTGCATATTGAAAGAGAAAAACTGAAGTAATTTGATGGGGTGGAATTGTATTATTTTACAAAGTGAAGCAAGCACAAGTTTTGAGCTTTTTCCTAGATTTGATCATTAGCTAGCTTTCATTGTTAGGCATGTGTTTTTAGTCTGACCCTGGCTGGGCTCTTGTAAATTCAGCCCTTAAAGCCTTTTTATCTTCAAGAAAATAATATTTCAAGCAGATTTTTGGTTTATCCCACCTTACCCACTTGACCTAATGTAGGCAACCCTGAGTACCACCTAATGAACTTCTATGGTCCCAGCATGGGTACACCGTACACTCCCTGTGGAGTGCTTGGAGCCTTGGACACCTCGTACAAAGGGGTGTAATCTGCCATAGGCAACCATGTCCACCCACCCTTGCATGTAATTTTAGGAGTTTGAAGTCATAAGACAATCAACTAAAGTTGAGGTCTGCCTTGCTAGTAATCTTTATCCCACCTAACCTTGTTCTTTAAGAAGTATTTTCTGTGGCTCCCCCTTTGGTTGTAATATGAATTGATGTTGTACTGTTTATTCTGCACCCCATATATCATAACTTCGTATGGATCTCCAGGTTGAAGATATTTAATGGTGTGTGCACCTGTTCCTTAATAGTGCTGGAAGGACCTCGTTCTATCTGTTTGCTATATGTAGAAGATAAAACATTGTTCTTTATTTGATGATGCCAATGACATCGTGGATAGATCTTTCACATTGTCAGAATTAAGGCTGAGATAGCGGTTGATAGATTATGTGTAGGAACTGTGGCTATTATTTTTTATTGGGTTGGGGTGGCAGGTCATTTATATTGCCGTAGTTGTATGTTGCTAGCTGATTTGTGGATAATTTTTGACACCTCCAACCAGTAGCATCCTCTGAAATTCACTACTATGTTCTTGTTATTATTGAAATGACAAATCTATTGAGGATAATTGCAATGAGTTTTGGTAATACAAGCCTCTGCTGATTTTGAGGACTCAGATTTTAGGCATTTCAAATGATATTTACTGTGCTCAAGTGTTATGGACTGTTTGGACTATATTGTTATGGGCGGTTTGAATTATATAGCTAGCTGTTATGCCAGATCTTTTTATCTTCAGTAAATTTGAATATGTAGGCTGTGAACTTCCTAAAATCAAGGAGTTGCACACTACTCACGGATAACTAGTCATATGTCAAATTTCTCATTTTCAAAAATTTTTGTATTATATCAGCTTCGCACATATGACCATTGTTTTCGTTTTCTCTTCTTGCTAGTGTATCAAGTTTAAGACAGACCAAGCACAGGATGCTAAGAAGATGGAAAAGCTTAACAACATATTCTTTACTTTGATGGCTCGCGGTCCTGATGGTATCAGTCTTCTGTTGAATCTTCTNTCATATGTCAAATTTCTCATTTTCAAAAATTTTTGTATTATATCAGCTTCGCACATATGACCATTGTTTTCGTTTTCTCTTCTTGCTAGTGTATCAAGTTTAAGACAGACCAAGCACAGGATGCTAAGAAGATGGAAAAGCTTAACAACATATTCTTTACTTTGATGGCTCGCGGTCCTGATGGTATCAGTCTTATGAATCTTCTTACTATCTTTTTGTTATTCCTAGTATTTGAAGGCATTAAGTTCTGCAAAGGACATTACTTAAGATGATAGTAAAAAAATGGAATTGCATTAATTTTTCAAAATCGGGGAAGATTCATTCTGGTTGTAAGTAAGCGAAAAGAGTGTACCATGACTGCTATGCAAAAGTTTGAAAAACTCATTTGGGTTCTTTGTGGGCTGCTTTGGTATGCACTTGATTACATTGGATGTCTTGAATGTTACAAAAGTGAATCCGAAACATCACCTTCCATATGAAGTGGCTAATTGTTGCACGTGTAGAGCAGCTTTCTGGATACTCTTCATTCATCCTTCGTGTATGTTGGATTTGGTTTGGTACCTATATGTGCTTTGATTCATTCTAACAAAGCACCATTACTTTCTCTTTTTCTACAGTGGATATATCCGAAGTCACGGGAAAAGAACAGGCAGAAGCACAACCAGCTAAAAAAGGAAGGGGAAGGAAACAATAACATCCATATATCAAGAAATCGGCTTTGGGCAAAATTACAGCAGTTATGGCTATAAAGCAAAAGGTTTTTGTTTTCCAAGCCATTTGATTCTGGTTGAAAAAGATTTATTTGTGGTAACTTAACGCTTTTGCTGTTCAATTAGCAAATTTTCAATGGAGGGCTTTGTCTCTATTTCGCTGGTTGTGGTACTTGATATCTCATTGTTGGCATTTTCATTGTTCTCTATGCATTCTGCTACTGTTTTGGTTAAAGTGCATTGATATTATGTGGAAACCACCCAAGTAGCGCGGTCTACATTGTTTGGAAGGAAGTCCTTTCTCTTCGCGCTTNTATTTCGCTGGTTGTGGTACTTGATATCTCATTGTTGGCATTTTCATTGTTCTCTATACATACTGCTACTGTTTTGGTTAAAGTGCATTGATATTATGTGGAAACCACCCAAGTAGCGCGGTCTACATAGTTTGGAAGGAAGTCCTTTCTCTTCGCGCTTGTAAGCATAAATTTTTTGTGGGGGTCATACGCACAAATACAAAATACATTTCCAGAATCACTTCATTGTCCTTCTTAAAGCTTAGTTATCAAAAATTGGGACTTGTTTTGTCTTTGGCTAATCTCCCTCTTGGGTCGGCCACATGCACCCGCTATTAAGCCTTCATGCCATTCGATATCATTGAGGTATGTGCAGAGGGAAGCAGAGAGTTATTTTTCTTATTGACTGCTATGTTAGTTTAATTAAGTTCGTTCTTGAAAAGAGTAACAAACGCGGTCAGGGGTTTTATGATCACACAAATAGAGGCTTATCAGGGTGGTCTCTGGACGCTCTTACCTTTTTTTTTAAGTAATTAGTTAAATGAGCCCTTTTCTTCTCCGTCCCAGTCCTAACGGTCGGAGTTCTGATTCAAATTTTGCCAATTCATGACTCATGGTGCACTCTGGGATTTTTCATTCAAAATATGCACTGTTGAGTCTCGGGGAGACTCTCTCTCTCTCTCTAACACACACACACAACTGTAACGTTCTTGCCTCTGCATTCCAATTACAAATGCATGGCCTCCAAGANATTCAAAATATGCACTGTTGAGTCTCGGGGAGACTCTCTCTCTCTCTCTCTCTCTCTCTCTAACACACACACACAACTGTAACGTTCTTGCCTCTGCATTCCAATTACAAATGCATGGCCTCCAAGTGTGGCCCGTCGCTTGTCACTGAAGTTTTGTTTTGTGTAGTTGCTGAACAAGTAGGGCCCGTAAGGAGCTATATTCACTCCACTACACAAGTAAATATTAACCATTTACATGTTTTAATTCCTGTTTTGATAATCTTGCATTTTAGTGATTTAGAGTATAATATTTATAAATACATAATTTTTATCTTTATGTATGAAAGAAATTCTAATTGTACTTTAAACTCATTAGGAGAAAATTATAAAAAATATAATTTCACAACAACGTGAAAAATCCAACACCTAAAATATAAAACACAAACACTTGAGGAGGGGGGGAGGGCGAGATGTGTTATGCATGTTTGGGGAATTAAGACAACCTTAGGCTTAATTGAATTGAGGTGACACATGAAATGTACGATAAAACAGTAGAAGCATTTAATGTGACAAGANATTTAGAGTATAATATTTATAAATACATAATTTTTATCTTTATGTATGAAAGAAATTCTAATTGTACTTTAAACTCATTAGGAGAAAATTATAAAAAATATAATTTCACAACAACGTGAAAAATCCAACACCTAAAATATAAAACACAAACATTTGAGGAGGGGGGGAGGGCGAGATGTGTTATGCATGTTTGGGGAATTAAGACAACGTTAGGCTTAATTGAATTGAGGTGACACATGAAATGTACGATAAACAGTAGAAGCATTTAATGTGACAAGTGACAAATAAATAACAAGCATTACAAAACAAATGATGATTGTGTGCTTGACAAGTAGTTGGACACTTGTCATGACACATGAAAGATTGTATACATGCTTGACAATTGTCAAGCTAAGAGAAAAGATTATCATTTGAAAAGAGCACCTCCCACTTGTTTATTTGACTATAAATAGGAAAGAATTTCCATAGAAAAATCAAAACTAGAAATGGAAAAAGTGAAAAGAGGGAAATAGAGGAAGAGTGATAAACCGAGAGGAAGAAGGAAAAAAAGAGAAATTTGTGTAGTGTCAAAATCTACGGTAAAACGAACTCTGATCGAGATGAAATTTGTGTATATTGTTACTAAGACGACGTTGATCAAATCTATCAATATAAAATTTTGGTTTGAGGTACGGGGTTGTCCATAATCTGTTTTTATGTTTTGTTGAGGTAGCCTATATTTGACTAATTACTTTGGATGTATGAAGTACCCTTGAAGAATAGTTTGTAGAATGAGGTTGTGGTTCTACGATGTGTGATTGTGGCCCATGTAGGATGTGATTGATCGGTATGAGTTTGGATGTATATACAAGTGTCACTTGTTATAATACTAAGATAAACTAAGTATGGAATGATGTTTATTGTAATATGTTGTATTTGATTCATAATTTTGCAATTGTGTATCAATTGAGTTTATTTGATATTTGAGCATTCATAGTTTTATCGATGAACATGTTGTTTTCTGTCATATTATATACTTCTCCGTTTAATTAATTTTTCAGGTTGATAATGGAGCAAAGATCATAATCAAAATATTCGAGAACTATAGATATAAATTTTTGTAATATGTAAATTGGGAGATGTATTTGTATTTGGAGATTCATTTATCAAATTAACTTTTATTGACATAATTAGAGCTCTGGTCATTTAGAGATATTTTTGTGAAATATGTGATTTGATCTATTAATTAAAGCATCTGAGAAATCAGGGGAGACACAAATTTTTGTTAACCTTTATTCTTTTTTAAATTCAAATTCTTGAATAAAAAAAAATCAAAAATCCTTCTCCAATGTTATAGCCAAAACCAAACCAAATGAATGAAGGGAGACTAAAATTTTTACCAAAATCAAAAGAGACTCAAACTTTTACCCAAATTAAAGGAGACTCAAACTTTTACTCAAATTGTCAATGGTAAAATTTTATTCTCTTTTAAAGATCCAATATTCATATTTTACCTTCCATTAAATTTGAGTTTATCCTACTTTAGTTTTCCTTTTTCAAGTTTGAGTTTCTTCATTGAAGTCATTTGTATCGAATCAAATTTTTTACTCAAATATAATAGAGTTCTTTGTATCAAATAAATTTTTTTATCCAAATGTTAACTCAAATTTGAGTGAATGCTAGAAATGCTTTAATAGTGAAACTTAATAAAAAAATAAATAACCATTTTAGCTAGGCCAGTCAATGGATCGGATTTTAACTCGAATCCAATCCGAATTTGTTTAAGCGCATATGGATCAGATTTTCAACTCATTAATCCAATTTGTTCCGAATTCGATTGGAGTTTTCTTAACAGATTCGGATATGAATTTATAATAATTTGATCCATTATTAATATGATCCGATATTAATCCGATCGGAATAAAAAATATATTATGTAAATAAATATCACACTTATATTATACTTATACTGAAAAGTAAAAAAATAGAGTGAATATTATAATGTATGACCCTTTTTTATGGTTTCCTTATTTTTGCTTCAATTTTTCATTTTTCCTCCTTTTTTTAGTTCAAAATCCAAATTCTTATTGTTATTTTTTGGTGTACATGTGTTTTTTGTGAAAATCAGATCGAATTGAGTAAGATTTTTGGATCAGATATCTGAAAATTAACGGATTCGAACATGAATTAAAATTTTCCAATCTGTTGGATAATCGAATTGGATTGAATCAACAAAAACTTAATCGAATTTGGATTCGGATATAGGCTAATCTAGTTCATATCCGATCCGTTGACTGTGACGATCGAATCTCGACTCGAAAGTGATTGAATAATTAATTATTTTTTTTTATGAATCTTATGATATTGTTGAAAATTATACAAACATTAATTTGAGGTCAAATTATACATTAGGATTTAATTATGAAAGAGTTGAATATTACAAAATTTATTGAGACCGAAAGAAAAAAAAATTAAACAAAATAAAATAGATTAATGGGGACCAACGAATGTAAATAGTAATCGGAATTGGAATTGTGTTATCTAACATTCAAGACTTAAGACTAAAGTGTGTGCAACGTGCACATTGGAAGAAATAAGGAGTGACCGGTGGCTGCTTGTGGTGTGTGCATGTAAATTTGGTTCTTACATGCATTGTTGGGGCTCTAGCTATGAAATGTGTTAAACAAAGCGAAGGGCGAGAGAGATGAGTCATGTGATTTTAAGCATGACAAAACATTTTACGTATTTGTCATATTATATATAATATGGGGAATGGTAGGTCGCGGCTGCAAGTGTGAGGAGAAAGAAAAAAAATTGAAAGTTTTGAAAAAACGAGAAGTTTGTAAAAAAAAAGCAAAACATAATTTAATAAATCTGATGAATGGAGAGCTAGCCTTTGAAAATTAAAAATTCTCTTTAATATGAAAGCAATAGGGTTGGATTTTTTCCTCAATGAGTTTTCTCACAAATTGGATGTTTTCTTGATGTGTTTTCTCTATATGCAAAGAACCTTATTTACAAGGGAGGATTCAGCTAACTGTTCAACTAGTCGTTACCATTCAGCAAAATATCTTCAACTCCCTAATATTTTCTCAACTCTACCATTATTTCCTCAACCCTCTGCAGTCAAAATAGGCTAATTATACTCCAAATAGGATTGATTAGTCTTACACTACTTGATGGGTCCCTCTAACCGAGTCACTCATACTGACTAGAAAAAATCCAACTCAAACATTTAATTATATCAATGCAATATATGTATGCATGCATTATTATAAAATAATTAATTAATATATAATAATTTGACAAAAAATGCATCTATGATATATGTCATGAATAATGCAATATTTAACCAACAGAGTGAGGTTTTATATATTTCAAATTTGACCACCAACCATGACTTAATTAATATTGAGGGATTTTAGTCACATATTCCAACATCTTCCACTTGGCTACAAGCCCGAGATATTCATTCATAATTTAAACCCATAGCAACTACATATCGTTTAAATTCTTCAGTTCCAATAAGTTTTGTCAATGAGTCTGCAACCATATCTTTTGTACAAAGATAGTCAATAGTAACATGTTCTTTTTGTATTATATCACTTATATAGTGATATTGTAACTTAATATGCTTACCTTTAAGCCCAATTTTCCTATTTTTAATGGTTTTTATC